CACACACACACACACACACACACACACACACACACACACACACACAACGAGGGACACACTTGAAAAAAGGCACCAGCAACTTTTAATTCATGTTATTTGTTTGTCTGAGGTCAGTTGTTAAAAAAGCTACAGCTGGTTTATTCCTATTCAGATGATTTTCACGTCTTTTTTTCTAGAACCACCATTAACAAAAAAATAAAAGTTTCCCCAACAATCCACCCATAATTATTGTTGTTTATGTACTTATTTTAGCTTTGGGAGGGTAGAGGGAGGAATTATAATAATTTATGACACGCTGAATCTTCAACCATCAACCCGCTGTCTCACATCACGTCGTATTGAAGCTATACGGCACAGTTTAAATTCAGGCTCTTATTTTGAAATGAAGACGGGTTCCTTTACTTGGTCCTTCACCCAGAATGCATCGCTTCAGTTCTCCAATAAACAGTTTAAAATGACTAATATATTTTATGCTTTCTTACCAAAGCCCTACCATAAACATAAGAAAAATAAATGACCAAGAAGCAGCAAAACTTGCAGTCCACAACAACTTTTTATTTTAAATTAACACCATGAATCAAACGTCTCTTTGTATAAATGATTTCCTCAAACTGTGACGAAATGTGAGTTGGGTTGAAAGCAAGTTGGTTTGCCACTAGATAGTAGCGTTGTGCAAAAATGGTTAATTTTATCACTGGAAATACATGTTCTGGTGAAATGAGCCAGTTTTGCAGATCTATTTAGCTTCCGCTAAAATATTTATGACGTGTTCTTAAGAACATGTGGAATTAAAGAAAATAGATTAAGAATTTGTGGAACTAACTTTTGAATTAGCACTGCCCACCACTGGGTGTCAGAATGGTATATATTTATACTTCTCATCCAACCACAATTAAATTCTCTCTATCCAGGAGACACAATTCATAAGGATAGTATTTTTAAGTAATAACAACTTGGAATAAAAGAGGAGTAACGACTTTCTACTTCTTACCTTTTTAAAAAATGTAGTGAGTAGAMAGTACAGATAATTGTGTAAAGATGTAATGAGTAAAAGTAAAAAGTACGCTGAAAAATAATTACTCAAATAAAGGACAGATAACCAAAATTTCTACTTAAGTACAGTTACAAAGTATTTGTACTTAGTTACTTTACAACTCTGATAAACAGGTTAAATGTTTTTATTTCATTTTTATTTATTTATTTTTTCTTTTTTGCTTTTCAGGTTAACCAAAACTTTATGGAAAACATCTGTTCATTCCTCACTGTCATGATGATAATGATGGTGAATGCAGCTGCAAGAAGAAGTGCTCTCTAAACAGATGTAAAGACACCTGTAAACAATGTTTTTTTTTCTTAAAAACACCAATTGAGCTGCATCATACAGTCCAGTATGCTCTTCTTTGGTTTCTTTAATAAAGTCATAATGGTAAAACCTCAGTGTATTGTTTATGTGAGCTTCTGCTTTAGGATGCCAACATGTCAAACTATGTTTCAAAGGTGTTTTGGTATATTTACCATTTAATAACAGAATCACAATCACCTGAATTTCATGACATTAACAAACCATTCAGAGTGATCTACAAATGCATTCTGTGGGTTTTGGTTCTCATTTCTGCATGTATGCAGCAAATGCAGATGGCATTTTTATTGTTATCAATAAAAATAATTAAAATGGTCAGGTGTTTTAGAACAACTTTAATTTGGTTTATTTTAGCTGTGCTGTACAGGGAGCTGGACACAGACCATGTTAGCTAAAACTAATAAAATGATCAAAAAAGCCTTTAGCTTACGTTGATATGTTGATATGAAGTCTGGGTGTAAGTCTCAGAGTCAGTACTCAGTAGTTTGAAACAAATCACTGGTAATTAAAAGTCCAAATGTGAGAAAATGGTAAACATTGTTTTCTCGTTCATCACTTTATCATGAATCATAGAACGCTCCTTTTACCAGTCAGAGTAACAACATAACCAGTTGATGATGAGCACTTCACTTTCTCATGGTTTTGCTGCTTAGGTCCAAAATGACAGAGACAACAGCAGAATTTACAAGTGCTGGTCAATAGGGGGCACTAGGGCGCCGCCCCACCACTAGTTTTTGTACACACAAAAAATAACAAAATAAATAAAATTACTAAATAAAACATTATAAATGTTTCAAAAAATATCGTATATATGTTTTATGATAAGTAAAATAAATAATTTAGCATTATTGATGTGTAAACTTCCATTTTACTCATGAGTTTTTTCATGTTGAATCAGTTACGGGTCACGGTCCGTTCGCCGCCCCAGACTCCAATTCACAAGTCATTGTAAGATTTTGGACATGCGCAGTAAGTCCCCAATGCAAAAAGATACCGTGGTCTGTAGCTCAGCTCATCACCGCCCCGCAGCAGACCTCTGGTATTCATTTCTATGGGGTTCACCCTGTCAACGTCTCGACGTCATGTTTATGCGGCAGCCTAGCCTGCAGGGCTATCATGAAGCAGGTTTTGGAAGACAACGGGAATGAAAGAGAAACTACACCGTAAGTCTCTTATATCTAAACCTTTACAAAGCAGCATATGAGGAGAAACTTAAAGTGATGTAGTTTGGACTGAATAAGCCGGAAATAATACAAATTGTGCAAGAACTGGTGTAGTTAGATTGTGTTGATGTTGCCTTTATTTTTGAGCAGCATATAATATAAATAAATGGTGAACACAACTTTACTGTATATAATATAAAGATATTTTTATGTTTCTACACAGTCAGTTGAGAGGATTGTGACGGGCCCCTTAGAGTCTTCATCATCAGAGGCAAATTGACGGGACAGGGCATCTGGCATAATATTCTTTGAACCAGGGCAATAGGAGATAGACAAGTTAAAATGAAACAACAACAACGACACAGAGACCAATGGGACTAGTGTGGGTTAAGGCATTTGGCAGCCTGAAGATAGGACAGATTATAGTTGTTGATCTCCTGATGCATCTCAGTAATCCAGGTAAAAAATCAAAAAGAAAAAAAATTGTATAGGTCTTCTGGACGGGTTCTTCTTTAATGAAACGTTTCATCTCTCCTCCAAGAGACTTCTTCAGTCTGAGAGTTTCAGGCAAAATTCAGGCTTTTAAGCCCTGCCTCCATGTGACTGATACTCATATCACATGACTATAGTTGACACCTAATTAACACCTATTGTTAACAGGGGGTGGAGTGATACTGGCAAAGGCAGCGCTGTAGGAGAGGGACAACTGAAATCGGAGGCCTCCACCTCTGTTTAATGATGGACGGTCTTTCTTCACAAAAATGTCTTCTTTTACTCCTCTCTCAAACCAACGTTCCTCTCTATCAAGAATGAGAACATCCTCATCTCTGAAAGAGTGACCGCTGGCCTGTAAATGAGTGAAAACTGCAGAGTTCTGGCCATTAGAHKTAGCTCGTCTGTGTTGGGACATTCTTTTGAACAGTGGCTGCTTTGTTTCCCCGATGTATAACTGGTCGCAGTCCTCCGGGCACTTAACAGCATATACAAYATTGCTCTGTTTGTGCCGGGGCACCAGATCTTTGGGGTGAATCTTTTTGATTGTTGTTGGTCCATACCAGCACAGGATGCTCAGCACCCTCCAACCAATGCCGCCACTCCTCTAAGGCCAAATTTATGGCCAGGAGCTCCCAGTCCCCGAAGCCGTCATATTTTCTGAAGGAGTGAGGTGGGGGGAAAAGAAAGCGCTCAGATGAAGCTTCTCATCTGGCTCAGTGTTGTGAAAGTACAGCACTAACCCCCATGCCAGAAGCATCAACTTCCAAGATAAAATGTTTCTGGGGGTCAGGCTGTACGAGGATGGGTGCTCCAGAAAACATGGCCTTCAGTCTTGGAAAGGCTGCTTCGGCCTCTGGGGTCCAGGTGAAGTCTGTCTTTGTAGAGGTGAGTGCTGTGAGAGGAGCGACAATTTGACTGTAGTAGCAAATGAATCTTCTGTAAAAGTCTGAAAAACCAACGAATCACTGGAGCTGTTTGTGTGTGTCTGGGGTGGTCCATTCATTCAGGTATTTGTCAATGCGAAGGGCAAGTGAGATGAGATCATCTGAGGTCTCAGGTTCATCAACTACAGCTAATTCGCCCTTTATATAATCATTAAAAGCCTGAAAATAGTATAAGCAATCTTACGTTCATAAGTAGGGAAGGATTGGGGAGCCCGGTTAAATATTAGTGAACATTGAAGGAGGAAACCCCCACAACGACCTGCATCAACTGAGAACCTCTCTGGTGTGGGTAGAGTTATGTCACGGTTGGGTGCCGGATGCGGAGCAGCTGGTGGGTCGATGGCGACTTCTGCTGGTTGAAGGGACCCTCTGTTGGCAGAGAGATTCTGCAAAGTGGTGGTTAGTTGTTCAAGAGCTAGGTTTGTAGCTGTCTGCTGCTGAGATAGGGACGGGCTTCATGGGTCTTTAGTAAGGTTGCTAGCTCAGCGATGATACTCCTGAGGGCCTTTGCTGGGTCAGCTTGGCCTGAGAGTTCTGCCATGGTTTTATTAAGGCTTCTGACAAGCATGCAAAAGAACACACAGGAGTAAGGTAATCAGATAAATTTGGTTATGTGATGATGAAAAGTGCTACAACAAGAGGATCCAGGGTTGTAAATAATGTGTCTGGGGGTGTGGTGGTGGGCGGTGCCCAGGAGTTCTGCAAAGGATAATGAAGTTAGTGAATGTTTCAGCAGGTAGAATGGTGAGACAGATGTGAGACTTTTACAGAGTATAGAGTGATGAACCGCCAGACAGACGCCAGTGGACAACTGGGTTGGGGAAGGTAGATGGCTGAGGCTGAGTGGCTGGCAGGAGGTATCGGAAGAGAGCTAGAGAACCAGAGGCTGCTGCAGAACTGCCGGAGCAGACAGGTTGTATAGAGAGTGGTGGCACAAGTCAATGAGGTAGTGGAGGGACTGTTACCAGGGCCGGATTAACACTTTGCTGTACCCTGGGCAACAATATTCAAGGGCCCCATCATCACGACCCCAGGATTACCATAGTCTGGTAAATACAGAGTAAATTATTGCAATGTATAGTAAATATACTCAATACTTCAAATTCTAAGTGTATTTTGATGTACAAATGCTCACAGAACTAYAAATACACTATGTTTTCTTGTCAATGACACACCTTCACATGATGCTATGAAAACAAAACACATCAGTATAATCTGGTAAACATGACCCACTACATTGACATCCAGGGAAGTGTCCTCCATTTACACAAAAGCAACACTTGACATTAAACAACCCTTTCAGTCACCTGACCCACCTCATGCTGACTGACCAATGACGAGAAGATCTCAACTCACCTTCACAGTGACAGGCAGCCTCTCTGTGCAGAGCAAGAGCTCCAACAGACAGTTTAACAAAAGCAGGAGAAAACCAGACATTTTGCTGGTGCCTTCATTCAAGGGTGTAACCATCATCTCAGAAGAGAGGGGGACACATTTTTTTAGAGGTCTGTTGAGTGATTTATCATCCTCTCTTATTAAATCACACACCTCTCCTTAGTGGCTAAAACACATAAATACTTACAGTCACAGTACAGTTCTACTGACTGACTTTAGTTCTTTAAACTATTTATTAACAAAATCTRAAGTTTTAGCAGCCAAAAGGTAACCAGATGGAAAACACCATTACTGTAAGCAAACAGACTTGAATAAGATCACTAGACTAAGCTTTGCCCATCCTGTCCACTGGTAACATCTGTGACAACATGGAGGAGCAGAAACAGACCAAACAGGACAACAGCTCACAGCAAACATAAACTAAAAGATAAACAGCAGCTGAACTGGATCTGTTTCACAGATTATCTGTGTAGTGGTCACCCTGGGTGGAATAAACGTTCCACCTGCCTTTGAACTTGACC